TAAATGACCGTTAAATGAAATGATGAATTTTTGAAGGATTTTGAAAACGGAAAAAATGATAGTCATGCCGGTCCAGCATCATCAACATTGAAAAATGCCCCAACACGAAGTGGTTAAGTTATTGAAACTGACTCTGCCTTACAAAGATGCAGTCTGGCATGGGTGGCACAGGTGGTTTGTGCAAAATGCACTCACCTCTCACGTCTGGGGTCTTGGTTTCCATCTCTGGCTTGGCCTAGTGAGCAGAGCCGTATGTTAATTCTCCCATGTGGCACATGGGTCTTTCTTTGGGTTGTCCAGTTTTTAGAAGCTGCTTGAAGCACCATCATATGCCTAGCCTTGGGCTTGACTGCGTTATAGCTTACTGTCTTGATTGTGTAGTGCATTTGAACATGATTGCGCGAATTTCACGCGTTGAATTAAGTAAATTAGTATCAGCAGACCTAGAAGACAGACATATCCCGTGAATTTTACCTCGCTCTTCTCTCTGGCCCTCTGCAGGATCTTCTCCTCAATAGTCCCTTTGCAGATCAGCCGGTATACTGTCACCTGCTTGGTCTGGCCTAGCCGGTGGGCCCGGTCCATGGCCTGCTGGTCCACAGTGGGGTTCCAGTCGCTGTCGTAGAAGATGACCGTGTCGGCCGCTGTCAGGTTGATGCCCAGGCCCCCAGCCCGGGTGCTCAGGAGGAAAACGAAGATGTCTGACCTAGGAGAGAGTGGAGGAACAGCTGCGTTAATAAGGGACAGCATTCTCTGAAGCCCTACCCTTAGAAGGTTTTTGGCATATCAAGATAACTGGCCCAACATTACACTAAGGGTTATGAAAAGAATTCAGCTGTAAATTTCGGGAATAAAAATTAAAAGTAAAAAATCATGGGACTAAAACATGGGTAAGAAGGTTAGGAGTTTCAAAAAAGTAGGCAAGCCTCAAGTAACAGATAGCTGCAAGAGTACCAAGCACTTAGCAACAAAAAAAATCAAACCCACCTAAACTTCAGTGGAAGGGGGCTGACAATTTCAAGTACTCTCAATTCTGGCACTTGACACTTTTGCATTTCACAGATTTGCAAGCGTTCCAGTCTTGATTTGGGCAGCACGAAGAATCGGCATGGTTGGGGGTAACGGATGTCCCATGTACTCTAGGATGAATGATGACGGGTCGCACAATGTGAACCTACCTGCTCTGGAAGTCTGCCACCATGTCTCTGCGATCTGAGATCTTGGACGAACCGTCCAGTCTCATGTACGTGTGCTTCCGATGCCACATGAACTCCTGCATGGTGATAATGGGAAGTCTTTCCAGTGACAAAAACAAGCGTCTGAGTTGCTAATCTACCAATGAGGCACGACATTAGATCTAAAGCACAGTGCTCTCAGTGGATATGCACAGAGAAGACAGCAACTAAAGTTAAACTTGCAGTGCCACGTTCGCAACCGAGCACGACTACTGACAGAAAAAGCATCCTTGCTTTCAACTTGAAGGTAAGTTTAAAGGGATACTCTTGGACACTTTCTTTTTTCACAGTTGTTTTCCAGCTAATTTTTTCCTAAATTCGATATCACACACTAGTAAGACACAATATCAGCCATTCTGTCATTACAAGAAATGAAACTTTGAGCAAGCAAGTGGCAACCACTGTATATTTTTATTTATTTTTGATCATCTTTTGATCATATCAGTTTAACAAAGTCACACTTCACGGTGATAGTCCTCTCTCAACTTTTTGCTTTCGTCAATTACACTCCAGAGCTTTTCCCTTCAATGAAGTGAGTATATTTCTTAGTTTCACGGTTACATGCAACAATGATTTTTACCTCGAGTAGGTCAATCATCCGAGTCATTTGCGAGTAGATGAGGACTCGGTGTCCCTCCCTCTTGAGTCTCGTCAGCAGCTCGTCCAGGACGTACATCTTTCCTGAGTCTGTCACTAAATACTGTTTATCTGTTGTAACAAAGAAATGGACACAGTGGGATCAAATGATGAATACAGGAAGCCAGTGGTCAACTAAACCCTTCAAATTCACACCAACAACTGTGAAATTTTCTTCCTCCAATGTGATTTGGAGAGACTTTGGAAGGTTATCAAAATTTCACAGCAAATATGCCTGCTAGTTAACGAGGTTACTCCTATTCACTAGAGCACAGCATAATCACTGTGTCAGTCTCTCAGGATCAAGCTATTTAAAAGTGAATGTATTAAAAAAATTGTGAGTGGTAATTACACATTGACAACAAATATCCGACAAGTTTTACTCCAACGAATTCTTGCAAGGAACCTTCCCGCCTCCTTCAAAAACCGAACCTCTCCAGTAATATCAATGGCAACAGTTGGTACTTGAAACCTTGCTCTGCTAAACCTTTTAGATCACACCACCCTTTGCAAATTTTGCATGTGAAGTCAATGGCCTGGAACAAAGCCGGGGTGGACTTCCGAGGGGTAGCACGCCCTACATCAAAGTAACAGCTGGGCTCTACTTTCAGGGTGTGACCTAGGATCAAAATATCTCTCTGTGACACTGGTGGTATCTGCACCCACATGCTGTGATTGGAAATACATGTATATATTGTCCAGTGATATATTGCACTGCAAGATTGGGGATTTTATTTTATTAATTTCAACTAGTAGGGTTATGAACATTTTTTTTAATGTACGTTTAGCTGTGATTTGTTATTTGAGTGTAACCGTGTCTGGTATAATTACTTTTCTTTTATCGTACCGGTAAGTAGGGTTAGAGGCGTCTGTCCCCAGGAAAGATCGAGACATCACCGATGCCAGTAGGGTTAGGTTCTCCCTGTTGGCGGGGCAGACGTATCCCCATACTGTGGTTTGGGTACTAGCGCGGTGACATTCATTCATTTATTCTTATTCATTTGCCCTTACCTTTCATTTCTTAAATTAAATTAAGTTATTTTTTTTTGATGTCGACTTGTACTGTGCCATTGATCAATGTTATGGAAATGGCACATTATAAATTTTCAGTTATTATTATTATTATTATTAAAGACTGCTTCTCTGGTATGGACGATTTGTGCAATATATGGTCACAAGCAAAAACTGCGTGTCCTCAGGACAGGTGGACAGGTGGCTGGAAAATACACTATCTACCTTCCTCAAACCTGCATAATCTTCCCCAAACTACTGATGGATATTCATGGCTATAGGAGACTTCAAGGGTTGGAGAAAAGAACACTGAACAGTGAAGGATACGAATACTTCGACTTTTTGGAACACCTTTGTCATATGCTTAATCTTGTAGGCTCTATGTGGGTCTCCTAATTTGTTTGCCTTTGATCACCAACAAATCTCCTACAAGTCCACAAACCAAATGTTCACGCAGCTCCCAGAAGATCTTCTAGTAAAGATCGAAGTGTAGCACATTAAGAATAAAGCATGCACCAAATTGGTGATCACACAAGTGGTTTGCAATGGCAGCAGAACTCACCTGGAATCTGGATCTTGGACCAGCCGTGGTGTGGTCTGACGGCACTTAGGCCAGCCCGGGGCAGAGGGAAGAGCAGCCCCCGTTGCACATCCTGATAGCAATCCGGCGAGCCGTGGAGGGCACAGAGCCAGGCATCCAGGGAGCCGCCTAGCTCCTCTCGCCTGTGGTCATACTCGGCCTGTCGGTGGCTGCAGTAGTGGCCAAGCGGTGGTGCCAAAACCTTGAGGGTTGGAGGGGGAAAAGAGAGAGCAGCATTTGCAACATGAAATTGAGGAACATAGATTTGATGGTTTCAAGGTGAACCAGACCATTAATATGTGCACAACGCACATTGGCGGACATGCCTAAGAACACAACGTCTAAATGTCAATAACAAAATACCACACAGGACCAAGTAGAAACATCATAGATAGTGGTGCCACGTACAACAAGGCTGGTCACGAGGCAGCACCCACCACCTAGCTGGTGGGAGTGGGTCCAGAAACCCTGGCCCTTTTAGGTTTAACAGAGTCAGGGCTTTGTCTGTCCAACTGCAAGCTTTCAGGGTGTGTTAGGAATAGTCTTACCATAGAAATTATTTGCATTGCATGTACATAATTACCCTGAAGTTATCCAACTTTGGAATCCTTCAGGAACGACTATGAAGAAAGAGGTGATTTTACTTATTTGATAAATTCTTGTTTGCATAAAGAAAAGCTGCTAACTAAACTAACAATCTGTTTCAACCTGAGATGTAAACAGAGCTATTAACAGCATAATATTATTTGAACTTTATTATCTGTTAAAAACTTTAAATGCGATGGGCTCTTAACCAAAAGGAATGTGTTTAGTGTTTGAGATATGGGGACTTGTGAATGAATATCCGAAGTGGGGAATACACAAACTGCTTGCTGATTACAGTGTCCTGAAAATACACAAATCAAAAAAAGGTAGAGATGCTGACATGTCCATCCAAGCAAGCAAGTCAGTTTGCCTTACAGAAAGATTCTGGTAGGTCTGAAATGTTAGGTTCACTGTCTCTTCTAATATTAATTCCCTATGCCGAAAAGTTTTGCAAGATACATGTACCTTGGGCATGTAGTGACAGATGAAGGCTGGTAACTCTGTTGGACTGCAGACCCGGACAGCCGAGGGACGGTCAGACATGATGGGTAGGAAATGGCCAGAGGCCGATAAGAGACTGCCAACACTGTGGCTACTGCCCCCCTGCCTGACCTGTGCAGAGGGAACGACCAAGCAGAATATCATACACTATAAAATGTACGTTCCAATGACTACACAACTGTGTGGATATCCAGACAGTCTGCTTGCCCATGCCAGATACACTTGACGCTTCGGGACAAGTGGCATACATATATCTAGTAGTGACGGTTTGTAACTCCCAATCATGGGAATCAGTGTTTAAATCAAAACGCTCACGGGAATCAGGGTTCGAATCAAGAAGCTGGTTACATGTTACGACCTCAGGCACATCACTTGACTTTGCCCCTATGTGCCCTTCTCCACCCAGGACGTACGCAAGGTTACCTTTGAGGGTAAGGATGACTTTTGCCTTCGACTGGTGTCATAATGAGAGTGCGAGTGTAATTTATGCTGAAAAATCTGGTCAATGAATCATAATGTTATATAATGCATATGGAATACTGTAATCTATGACTCAAAAGGGTCTATTTCCTTCCTCAAGTTATGATAATCTGACCAAAATACCTTATCATTCAACAGTTCAAGAAAAGCCTCCATCTTCCTGACCTGGCAGATTGAGCTTCCCTTCTGACAACTACAGCAGACCACAACATAAATGAATGCTGTTACTTACTCTTTTGGCAGCAGCTGGACTTCTTGGGCTCCTGGGGCTGCGAGGACTGCTGCTGCTCCGAGGACTCCAAGATGAGGACCTGTCCGGTGTGCCAGAGTCCCCATTCACTGACTCGCCATCTGCATCCGGCTGCCCGGCCTTGCTTAGCCGCACCCGGCGGTGCCAGGGTGTCTCCGGCATGAAGTAGTAAGTTTGAGTGGGGTGGGCCACAACGCCCGAGGTGTTGCCTGTGAAGACCAGGTCCCGCAGGGCGGGGCTGCTGGCCACACTGGGGGGACTGGTGGTCCAGCGGGGCCAAAGAATAAGGCCGTGTCTGCCCAGGTATCTGGATGGAGACGAGGCCATTAAGAGGAGACATGCATGTGCTTGAAAGAGGCAATCGTGTTATGGGCAAGTCCACGATTTCGAACACCTTATGTCTCACACAAAACAGAAGTTTTAGCCTTGAAGACTTTAAAGGATTGCAGCATTTTTCATTCTGCTGTTGAGCATCTGGATGAAGAATACCTGAAATCAGGACAAGCTTTTAACTGGAGGAACCTTTATGTACATGTACCACTCAAACATGGAGTACAGGTTCATTGGTATTTGAGACCAAATACTCCATGCACTGCATGGAGGTTTATTGGTATTTGAGACCAAATATTCCATGCATTGCATGGAAGTTTATTGGTATTTGAGACCAAATATTCCATGCATTGCATGGAGGTTTATTCTTCTATATACCAATGCTTATTTAGAAGTTGTTGACCACACCTTTAGGATTATGTGAATTCATCTGTCATACTCCCAACATATGGTGGAGAATACAGAATTTTAGGGCAGTTAGTAACCAAAGCAGACTTACAAATTGACAAAAGGAGGCCCCAATTTCAAAACAAAATAATTCTGTAGTTTGAAACAATCTTCTCTTGAGTAACACTTTTTGCAGACGAAACTAAAGGTGCAGCCTAAAAAGTGTTTGGCCGACGTCAGAGGCTGAGAAAGAATCACAAACCAGCTGGCAGTTCACTTTTTCTGGTCAAAAGAGAGGTTTCAATATTCACCTCGCGTGGTCTTTGTCAGCACCCCACTGGCAAGCATGGTGGACCCTGTAGGCAGACTTCATGACAAGGAAGAGGGCCAACCAACGAGCCATCAGACCCATCACCAGCTGGCCGTGCAGCTGGGCCGGCGACAGGTCCACGAAACGGGCGAAGGAGAAACAGGAGCTGCGGGCTTGGCGGGAGGTGGACGGAGAGAGAGAGGCGTGGATGTAGTCGGGAGCAAAGACCGAGAAGGTGCTACGCAGAAGTCTGGGGGGGGGGGAGAGGGGGAGAGGGGGATGTAAAGGAAAGTTCAATCAATTCTATCGCCATGTCACATCTGATAGGATTCTACATGATTTACACTGCACCTGGAGGGTTAGAGCTACATATTGTGTACTTAGAAGAAATCCTGATCTGGGGTAACTGCATGTATGTACGAAATCATTAACAGAAGTAGACATGGAGGAGGTGATGTACAACCAGTTAACTTTCTCAGCATCAGAAACAGAGGGATTCAACAACCGTTTACTGAGCAACTGGCTGCCATACTTTTACCTATAACCTACCTTACTCCAAGACTGTTTTTTTTCATTTGTTCCCTGCACCATCTGTCTAGCACAATCCTTTCTCAGACAGAGGGGCTATAACTAACACACTTGCTGGCCTGCCAGTCTTCCGATGTATAGTTCACATATATCTGCTTAAAACCAAGCCTTGTTGCAAAGCTTAAAACAACCCCAGAAATGCTGAGGATATTCCAAGCGTAGCTACTTTCTTACCCTGCATGCTGCACGACGATGCTTGTTAGCTACAGAACTTAGACAACTATGCTTGGAACATCCTCGGAATTTCACGGATCATTTTGAGCTTTGCAACCAGACTGGGTTTCAAACAACGGAGGATCGGCGGGCCAGCAAGCGTGCTGTGTTTTTGAAGGTACTGAGAAAGGATCGCGCCAAATGGACGGTGCAACAAAACATGGAAAACCCAGCCTTGAAGCAAGACACCTATTACCACACATATGGTGAAGGAGGCATGAAAGCTTGGGTGGTGCCGATTGAGACTACTTCAACAAATATGTTCTGATTCTGTTTTTTTTTTAAAGTACATGCACACTTTCATGGAATGTCAAATTCTGTGGAAAACATAGGGTGGTCGCTACAAGTGAGACACTGCTATAGCAGTGTAAATTCAATGGGAGACTTTTGAGATGCTTGGTGGCAGCAGTTACACCACTCTCAGGTGACCAGTCTACTCTTGTATATGACAATTTGAACATGTGCTCCTCAGCACAAACAATAATCAACTAGTCATGTGGGACTGGTACGTTGTCAACAACAAGATTCTCAAAGTCTCCCACTGAGAGCAAGTTTTGTCAGGGGTGGAAAGGCGTTACCAATACAGAAGGCTATCCTACCAAACCTCAGCCTTGATTAATGAGTCTGTGATGAAAAAAAAAAAGCCAAAAACAGTTGATGCACAACACTCACTTATTCCTGGTGGGGTCTAGGCGGTCCACCATACCATCCTGATAGATCAGGCGTGGTACAAAATGGACCGGTGGGTCCAGCTGGCAATAGAACGGTGAGCGAGTGTCGCGCCTCTCAAACAGCTCGGGGTGGTTGCACACCTGCACGGACAAGAAAACACCATGGGTCTGTGACATGTTAAATATTTCAACTAGATATTTAGTTCTTTTCCCAATCTTAATAGATGATGATCAGTGTACATTCTGACGATGTGACAAACTAGTTGTGGGTTTGTCCACATCCCGAGTAAAATTCCTCACTGACACTTCCAGCCCGTGCCTGTACAACAGCATCAATACGGAGTGTATCCTTCATACATGTAAAGTAACTCTCCTAAACAGCCACAAAGGAACACCTGCCCTTCCTGCAAAGGAGCTCCTAGAGAAAGAAACCAGATAGAAGACCTCGTACGGGGCCTGACCTTTCTGAACTGCATGACGAGGTTCATCAGACTGTTGGCCGTGCTCTGTGACTGGGAGGTGGTGGAGGAGGCTGCAGAAGACGAAGAGGACTGAAGGAGGTCCTCTATGGAGATCTTGTTCCTCAGGGCCTGATAGAAGAGGCGCTGTCTTGTTGTTAGATGGCAGTAGACCAGGATCTCAATCTAAAGGGTACCAAAAGTTGGATCAAACCCATCAAATTGTTAACAAAAACTGTCAGATCAACTGAATTCTTTCAACCGTAGCCAGCAATTGCTCTTGTGGCATTTCTCTACAAATTTTAAACCATTCAAACTCAAAACGGGGGCCCTTTTTGCCCTTTCTTTTAAATTAGGATTACCCCAGATGTGCAGTTATTTAGCACACAGACAACAGATTCAAAGTGATAACCGATACAATCCAAGTAACAGTCTCTAACTGTTCAAAATCTTTGACAATTTTCATTCCAAATTTTTTTCACATAAAAAGTAGTCTGTGAAATTGGCTAGGATAACATTTTTCTACATGAAAACTGCACAGTTTTTCTTTCTTTCCTGATTAACCACTGGCTGACGCGTGTAATTTGAAGCTGCATGACGTAAACCCGGGGGATTTTCAAGATTTTCCATTTTCAAAATTCTTAAAAAAACCATAACTTCATTTACTGGACGTTTACACCCACACGAATGACTGTCTGGTGGCTACTCTAATCTAACAGACCACATCTATTGACGCCCGAGTATTTCAGCCAGGCCTGCCGCTTTGTAAAAAGAGCCCATATTGTGCAGTGTTACATAAGTTTCTTTTGTTCCCGAAACTGGCACAGTACAAGGCTGGCGTCTTTTCAATAGGGGTCAGATTAGCGTGCAGCAGTATTGTATCGCTCATCCCTGGAGCACTTTTGTCCCCGGTGGTAATCCGCTCACGCAGAATGACACAAACAGTGGTATAATCTTTCAAAACAATGACTGATTTCCTCCACTATTGACAACTGAAAAAATGTTAGCAATTCCCAGCAGCTCAGTCTTTTGTACCGAGTACGGTCTTTTGTTATAAGGCCCAGCTCTTTTGTTGGGTTTCAGGCTCCCCGGCTTGGTGTATAAAGCCTATGTGCCCGAAACAAGGGACCCTGGCATGAAGTTGTTAAGCTGATAAATGGTGCTTGTCGAAGCACAACGCAGTGAAAGTTTCCCTTTTCTTATCTAGAGTAATAACGAGGATTTCACAAACTTGATTGGGTGGAATATGAACCCCCAGTGTAGAAAGCGTACCTTATCGGAAAGCTCATTCTCCACATCTTTCTTGACTCTGCGCAACATGAACGGTTTCAGGATCATGTGAAGTCTGGATAGTTGCTCTGTTTATGAGGTGACAAGAGAAGAGAAAGGGCTACAGTTGCTACCGATAGTGCCAGAATAGTTGAAGATAACTCTGAAGATTCTTCCATTGTAAGCAGCAAACAAACTACAAACTGGTTCAGAAGTACTGTTTCGTGTAGTAATTTTTCCAACACCTAAGAATTTTTCCAGGTAAGCCCTGACAAACAGACAAGCAGAAACTAAGATTAATGGTCAACAGGACTGGGCTAACCACTGGACTCTGCACTTTGTCAATCTGCACTTGCTAAAATTCATCGTAGAATACAGCAAAGCATGGTGCAACAGGTAAGATGTGGAACACCGGTCACCAGAGATAAAATGTATAATAGGTCCGGAGCTGTGCATCGAAATCCGAACAACCTCTCAAGATCCTTCCAAATCCATCAGGACGAGTTGGAGGATTTTCCGGGATTGAGGCAGACACAGCATTGCTTGATGTCACTTTTATTACTCAGGAGCAAGGAATGTACTGCTGGGGTTCTTGGACAGTGATGGATTGTGATTGGCAATGTTTTTGAGGTTATTCCCAAGGCATTCGGGTCAAGGATGGACAGTAGGAGCACGTACCTTCATTGATGCCCGACTGCCTCTCTGCATGGCTCTCAATGTCTTTAGAGAACCATTCATTAAACTCCTCATGGCTGTCAAACAACGTCGGCATGATGAAGTGGAGCAATGCCCACAACTAATGTAGGAAAAAAAGGGGACAAGCGGTCATATTTCAATACATGCAGTGTTACGGGATGAACACAAGGTACGTCATCCTCAAAATGATCAAATGGTGGAGGCATACTAAGCAGGACCATTATTGTGCCCTGTGGTTAAGTCTTAAAATAAATGAAAGGGTAGAACTTTTCACTAGAAAATTAAAAACTGGATCACAATTTTCTTGTACTATGTCATCAGTTTTGGTAAAAGCCACGACACTGGGCCAATGTGTGAGACTAATCCCCAGGATAGTTGTTTTTCCTCATTCTGTGATTTTCATTTTACAATTGGGCAACAGTTTCGTCTGAACTTTTGAAAGTAACTCAGGGCAACAAACTTGACCGTTTTAAAAGTAAAAACGGGGAGAGAAGTTGCGTATTATGATATGATAAACAAGTACAATTGACCCTGACCTCTGCCATACTGTTCTGGATAGGCGTGCCAGTGAGTAACAGTCTGTTCCGACAGCTGAACTGAAGCAGAAGTTTCCATCTCACACTGTCAAGTGAACAATAAAATAATAATCAAATGTAAAAAATGATCCCCCCAAACCTGATTACAAACAAACCAATCAGTGAAGACTTTGTTGTTTTAACTCGGCAAGCATGGCTTAACAACAGTTAGTTGTGCCTTCTTATCACAGTTTTCAAGAATTAGGTGGTGAGGGTTAAATTCTCTGTTGGGGTTTGTAACGTTGTTTCCAGTCACAATAAGGTGGGGTGATCGTTCAGGTAACATTTTTTGCACACAGGTGAAAATGCCAAATTTATTGCTTTAATACCCATCAGCACGGGATCTTTACTGATTGAGTGGTTTTTACAATGTCTTCATTTAGCAAGCTGACAGGAGCTTGAAAATTAAGAGAGAAAACTGATGTACTCAAAACTTAGGCTTGGAGTTGGCACCATGTGTGTTTTTAAAGTTTTCACAGGAAAAGATGTAGGTTGTGTGCATGATTTTCCAGGTTAGGTTGGGTAACTAAAAACACGGCTCCTTTTTCTGTTTGGCCAAACTGCAAGAGAAACTCTGGATGCAGTCGGGACATTCACCTGGAGCTGCTCTTGATGGCCTGGGCCTCGTCCAGGATCATGTAGTGCCACTTGATGCGCTGGAAGTACTTGATGTCCTGGATGACCAGCTGGTAGCTGGTGATCAGGATGTGGAACTCGCTGTCGGTGGTCTGCAGGGGACGTTGACTCCAGAACTTGCGCAGGATCCGACGCTCCTGAGGGTTGCCCCAGTACGGAAGCACCTGAGGGAGGGTGGAAATGACAGAAATGTGCCTGGTGAGATGTGAGACTAGTGGGCTGACCTCCCCGCTTCCATTCAGCTCCATCTATGCCACCGTTGACCAAAGATCCTTATCCTGGTAACACCTCCTGGTGTAGAGACTAAAGCTAAAGTGAAGTTAAAGCTGTGGTGGAATGACACTCATGCAAAGCTTCTTAAATTTAAGTCCTGAATGCACTTTGGAAGGTTGAAAACACACTGAATGTATGCTGCATACAGGTACATGTATATCTGCATACCATCTGTGAAGTGTGGTACCAAAGCACTCATACATGTACACGTAGCTTTACTGCTTTTCACTTGCAAGAATTGGGAAGACAGATAAAGATGTAAACCAGTATCTCGTCTAGCCACCCTTCCCATGTCTTGAGGACAGGCAAAAATCATTCACGACAGACAGTTTTTGCTTGCAATCAAGTTACAAATCTGCAATTGTTTCATCAATTTCATTTCTTCCGAAGCATTAGGCACAATGGAAGTATGGCAAGACAGCACCAGCAGGTCAACGCTTTCAAAATGTTTGCTGCGAGTGGAGAGGTACGTTTTAACACTGCCTCTGAAAGGAAAGTCAGATCTTTTTTGACCCTAGGTGAAACCGAGATGTCACCGGATCATGATTTTGGCTGTTTGCTTGAAGCACAGCAGATTTTCCACTACTTATGTCCAGTACAGCACAAAATTACAACTAAGTCGTTGGTCTCAAACTAGGAGGAGGCACCAGGAAAAGAACTTTCAGGTAAACATCACGGGTAAAGTTGGACAACTTTATTTTCCCAATACTCCAAGATATTGGAATTGTTGTCCCTGTAATAAACTGTGAAGGATATTGATGAGAATGAGATGTGACAAATAATTTTTGCAGTTAGATAGTCTAGAAGGGAATGAGATATTTACAAAAATATACAGGATCTGCCAGTGGGGGCACAAATCCCAGTTTACTCCATTGTCCAATGAAGTGGAAAAAAACATCACAAGTTGGGCAAGGAAGGAGGGACGCATTTACTGATAGGAGTTTATTTGTTTGAATTTTGGGCCACCGTTGACAAATTAATGAGCACGTAAGAACATGCACTGATAAATTTGGGATCCGTAATAAATATAGCTTTCATGGCTATCGCAAGAAATCAAACGGATGTATTATATCAGTGACTATGGTGTGCAGAGGTAACAAATTAAACCCAGGAGGGAATGATGGATCAGTTTGGTTGTAGTTTGGACTTGTAAATTGTCTGGAGTAGGTCCTGAGCTCACAGTCACATGCACACTACACCAAGGGGTACATGTACAAGATCACTAGACATGTACTGTAGCTTGTGAACATATGCTACAAAGATAATGGGAATACATGTACTTGGGATGCGCCTCACAGACTTTACAGTTGAAAGATGATATCTTCAGCAGTTTGAATTACGTTAAGCAAAAGAACCAGAATTCTGTTACATGTAGCTCATTTGGATAAACTAGTTAATGGTTGCCAAGGCTTGGCGTACTTATAAGCGCTGGGGGAACTGCAATAAGGAAAACAGTGACAGTGTGGTATCATCTCTCACGGCAGATGACGGGGAAAAATAATACACTGAAGAAAGCAAGCAATCATGTGTGGCTAATGTGACATTTAAATCTATGTGTTTCAAAATGTTCAAGGAGAAGATTGTCTGTGTTAAGCCAATCTCTACACTCAGTGGCTCCAGCAAATTGGCCCTAGAGTAGGAACTCTGCATAATAGGTGTTCAGACATGTCATGAACCAGCCTGTTCCCACTTGATCCACCAATTGAGGGATCTGATCCACCTTTTGCCAAATTGCCGGATCAGATCCCCCAATTGGTGGATCAGATCCGGCAATTGTGTGTAGTGGGAACGCTAACCGTTACAAGGTGGATCAGGATCAGATCCACCTTTCTTGATCCTCCTCTGGAGCAGGATAGAGATCCCCCAATTGGTGGATCAGATCCTGCAATGGTGGATCACGATCAGATGAGAACGCAAAATGTGGATCTGATCTGGCAATTGTGTGTAGTGGGAACGCTAACCATTATAAGGTGGATCAGGATCGGGTCAGCTCCCAGCTGCTCACTTTCCCACTGACAACTCCAACTGACACGCTTGAGTAAGCACACACTCAGGTCATGCAGTACCAGGATCCAGTGCAGCATCCATTGTTCCTGACATCACTGTTCCCGCCTTAACGCTTCATCGAGCTATTCCCTACATCTGGATCCCTCTCTACACCATATAAGCTCCACTCCCAGTCGGAATCCAGCAGTCTCCTGAAGACGGACAGGGTACATGTATACTGTTCGAAACGTCAAGTTATTCCCCGGTTCTTATATAACAAAAAATTGACGTCTACCAAGGTACAGCATACATGTTTGGATAAGTGTTCAGAGAACTGTAATCAACCTGTCATGCGTCAACACTAATATCAGGTGATTAAAAACAATAGATCAAAGTCTGTGGTAAGTATTAATAAGGAAAGTAGTGATCGTCATCATCTCCCTTACAATTGATGAGGAAGAACAGATTTGACAGAACAAGCTATAGATCAGATGGGGTCAATTTGAAGTTTAAATAGGTGAATTTGAATTTTAAATCACTGTCAGCTTAAGAGATACACTGGGGTGCAATACTGGGAGACACTATAAACTTTGACTAGAATCAGTTCACTGTGAAAGAGGGGCTCATACAGTGTGGAAGTTTGACTGAAGTTAGCACCTTCAAACTTGATTTACGCTGCTTGTTGACAGACACGTAATGTGCATGCTGCCATTTTTAAAGAAAAAAATCCTTGGTAGGTTGGGCTTTCTAAAGGCAGCAGTGCTTGGCTCTATTCTTTAGTTTACACTGGACATGCTAAACTGCTGGAACATTTACAATTTCAAGATAGCACTTGGAGGCTTCTGCATTTCTGGTTTATTCCTTTGATTTGACTGTTACTTGGAATTGCACAGCTAGGACATATAGGCACATGCATCTACTACAAGCTTACTGGAATATCCATGTATCTGCGGGAAAACTGCTGAAATACATGAATATCCGCTAGAGCTGCAAAACCTACATGACTCGGATGGGATCTGCTCAATATTCTCAAACAACTGAACGAGCTGGAACAACTTGCTGAAAATCCTAGGAAAGTTGCATGAAGGCATAACTGGCACCGCTATAAGTAACAATTTCAAAGCTAATAAAAGTCCCTTGGTGGAAGACACTAAGACTTGATTGATCAAAATGGCATCATCCCACTATGATGAGCTGTTACCGCAAAGTGATGACTGGAGCTACAGCGCATGGCTTTTGGTTACTGTGTTGTTCATCCTTACAACCATCCTGGTTGTGGTTTTCAATGTCTTCTGCCTGATTGTGCTCCATCGCACCAGAGTCCTGGAAGAGTCTACCAAGGTTTTCATGATATCACTCAACGCTGCTGACCTGTCCAGTGGACTACTAGTGGGCATCCCTGGCTCCACTGCATGGATAATTGGATGGTGGCCTTTGGGAAGTGTCCTATGTAAGATGCATGGAACACTTGGCTCTGAGCTTTTCACAGCAAGCATGCTGTCAGTATTGCTTCTAACAATAGACCGTTACGTTGCCATTTATTACCCCCTACGTTACCCTAGCCTCATGACCTTGGCTCGAGCCAGGGTCATGGTGTGTTGTGTATGGGGTTTCGTCCTGATGGTTGTATCCCTTTTGCTATTCTTACCACATCTAGCTGATATACATGAACCTGGCTACAAGTCTTATAATGTTAGTGGTCAGAGATACGACTGCTACTTGAAATTCCACACAACACCACATTATGGGGCCTACTTTACTGCGACAATCTCCATACCAACACTCATCATTACAATTTTGTACATCAAAATTGTACTGACAGCACTGAAACATGCCAAGCGAATTGACAACGAGGCACAATTAGGGAACCAGGCAGGCGGGAACCATCTAAACAAGGCTAAAAGAAAGTCTCTTGTTACTGCTGCAATCATTACTGTAACCCTTTACCTATGTTACCTGCCGGAAATAATCAGAGTCATTTTGCTTACTTTGCTCAATGTAGACATTTCAACTGTGATTGAAGGTTTAACATCAGTCATGTATTTAAGCAATTCTTGGCTAAATGTCATTATCTATTTGCTCAGAAACAAGGAAGTTCAAAAAGACGCAAAGGCCCTCCTGAAATGTCCTTGCAGGAAATTTTAAGAAAACTAGAGATCAAAACAACAGTAAAGCTTCACCAATTTACATTTGGTAACACATTAATCAAATCAGTTTGACTAGTCTTATGTTGTTTCAGCTAATCTGCCAATGCAGCTGCATGTGTCAAACAAACAAAAAATCACGGCAGCAAATATGGCAAAATGAAATAAAACATACCAGAATTTCATGCACTTGAAGCTTTATTAAGAAAATAATAACATCAAAACCTAATTAAAAAGGAAAAACTGAAAACCTCTGATTTCTTGAAATAATTGAAACTTGCATTTATATTGGTAGGCAGTGCATGTACATAAGTTGTAACAGCTTCAGTTGATTTTTTAGAGCTAATTTTAATGTTGTCTCTGACCTTTGATACCTTGTAAATACTTTTCACAACTGCACAGAAGCAAACTGTACAAGAATACTACTACATGACAATGTCACTTATACTGTACATGTATGTGTACATGTATGTACTAATACATTCATACATGTGCATGTATATGGAGAGTTTTATGCACTAGTTTCCTTACCAGGGACAAAATATGACATTGCACAACAGGGAGAATTTTCAGATGAATTTAAACACGAGGTGGTTCCATCCCTTGTTCACAACATGCGAGTGGTCACGAAGGCATTCAATGGATGTGTACACCGGGCTTCTGATTGGTACATATACATGTAAATTAGTCTAGATAGTTTGCAGTACTATCTACAAGACCACAAACTCTTATTTTCACAAATAGACTAAAAAGGACTTGTA